ATTGTCTTTCAGAACAACGCACCAGACATATCTGTTGTTGTGCGTGAACGAATAAGCGCCCCAGGTACAATGAGGAAGTAGAATGCATGTTTCAACTAAATTAATTTATTGAGCGAAATTGTCTTCTTGGTGCGATAAGATGAAAACAATGTCGCATTGGTACTATGGTCAAGACGTTGTGTTCTTTTTTGTTTGACGAACGCATGCTTAAGTTGTTTAATACCATGTGCTTGGACGTGGATAATATTGTCCTGGTTTGGCCAAAAATCATCTAATTTCATGAGGATGATTTTGGACGTCCATAATATTAATATTCCAGAAGTATGATCGAGTACGACAAGGAAAGGATTTCCGTCGTTCCCTGTACGATTCCGTTCTCTAAAGCAAATATTTTATTTGATATCCATTTGAAACCTTTTTTCGCATCAAATACCCTTGCATGTCCCTCTTGGCCGTTGTCTGATCAGACACTGAGTAACGTATCAGATCCATTTTGTTTCACGAAGTTTGACGTGAACTGGTTCGTGACATGGGAACATGACAGTCCTTAACAAATGGCTTGTGCGATACTTTCTTCTTAGGACATACGCATTCAATAAAGACGCTGTACATTTCATGCGGCTGCGTCTACTCGTCAATTTTCCATCGAACTGGTATTGCAACTTATTGTTGACGTTGCGTGCGCATTCGAATCCTACCGAACAGACTCATTTAAAAATCAGATTGGTCAATTATTGTCAACTAACCAATCGATATCCGTTTAAGGACAGCATTTGATTGGCTAGATTTGCGCCAACCACGTTTTATTTGAATTTGCACAAAATCCTCGATCGGTGCCTGTCCATTCCGATCGATCCTCGATCGGAATGGACAGGCACCAGCAAGGCAAACCAAGTCGTCTCAGAACTCCCAGCGTGATACATCTCAAGAAGAGTCGACTCCACGCAGCGCATGTTGCGAGGACATGGCCAACTAGCGACTCTCGTTCTTTTTCAGCACACACTTTCCATCAGGCATCAATCAGATCGATATCCCCAAGTCGACAATTGAGAGCCTGGTCGTTTTTACAGGCTGAACGTGTCCTGGATGATATACGATTGCCGGATAATGCACGTTTCCCACGGATAATGCAATTACCCCGGATAAAGCCCTTTCATCCGGATATCTCCCCCGTCTTTGGGGTGTTCATACCAAGCGCCACCCCTTTGT